CCCTGCTCTACCTTCACCACTAACTACACTGGCTCTCATCCATTTTCATATATGCATAGTGTGTGCACACGCACCCATAGCATAAATATACATATTGAACTTTCCACCTGTAAATATACGTTCTTCCTTTATGCCGAAGACTTTTTTGGTTGGCTTTAATGCTACCTCTTCCCCCTCCGGTTGTGTTCCTCCTTTGCAATGTCAGCTGGCCAGGCACTCAAAGGCAGGCGTTTTTGCACTTTTCCCCTGATGATCAGCCATGTGTCCTTCGCATGTTTGTGGGGGTTTTTTACATTCATCTGTTCGACAAATTTCCTTTTGTTTCAAAAGTCCAGTCGTTCATGAAAAGTGAAGACTCAGAAAAGTGGGAGGGAAGAGAGAGAGAGAAAGAGCAAACACATCCAGGAAACGGTTCTCATAAATCACCAGTTGGAATTAAACCAGTTCAGAAACAGAAGGAACCAGTGAAGCTGGTTTTTTTAACCAGATTGAATGGGTAAATGACCCATCTCTTTCCTCCTCTCTTCTGCAGCCTGATAAAAGTTAGGATTACAGGGTAGAACTGACGTCAGTGTTAAGGCTGGAAAATAGGGTTCCTGAGCTATGAACAGACTCCTTGTTTCCTGTGCAGTGGAGGATTGACCAGAAGCAAGGGCCTTTTTTATCCAGTCTGTTTCTGCAGCACGCGCATGCGCGCGCATACACACACACACTTTTATATCCCTTTATTTCCATGAGATAGGCATGGCACACATTCTTTCCCAACCTGGTGCTCTTCAGATATGTTGGAGTTCAACTCCCCTAGTCTGAACAGCCAATGGGAGTTGATTTGAACACTTCAGGATGGCACCAGGTTGCAAAAGACAGAAAGATTTCTATGATTCCAGAGGATTTATGCTCTAGCACAGCTTTTCCTCAACCTGGCACTTTCCAGATGACTAGGGCAGTGGTCCTCAGTGTGGGCCATGTGATCCCCAAGGGGGGCACACCATATTTCTAGACGGCCACAGACATTTATGGTATAGTTTAGATTAATAAACAGTGCGGATGGTAATTCTTATTTCTTTCTTTTATTTATATGTCATATGTATATCACCGCCCAACTCCCCCACAAGGAGGGACTCTGGCGGTTCACAACAAAACAATTTAAAATCAGTAAAAACATAAATAATACAAATATAAAATACAATTATTAAATACAATTTCTTTCTTTTATTTATATGTCATATGTATATCACCGCCCAACTCCCCCACAAGGAGGGACTCTGGCGGTTCACAACAAAACAATTTAAAATCAGTAAAAACATAAATAATACAAATATAAAATACAATTATTAAATACAATTTCTTTCTTTTATTTATATGTCATATGTATATCACCGCCCAACTCCCCCACAAGGAGGGACTCTGGCGGTTCACAACAAAACAATTTAAAATCAGTAAAAACATAAATAATACAAATATAAAATACAATTATTAAATACACTAAGATCCAAGAGATGGTGATATTATTTCAGCCTGTGACCAGATAATATCGGTCAAAGGTAAGACTAGCTGGAAAAAATTACCTTTTTTCCAGCTATCAGCAACTATGAGGGGGATCACAGTGGTAAATGAGTCTCAGAAAAGGGCCATGAACAAGAAAGTTTGAGAATCCTTGGACTTGGGAATGCCAGTCTCCAAACCCTAGCTAGCATGTCCAAAAGAATCCCTTGGAGAAGTAATTCCATCATGATCTCAGATATATTGATGTTGGAAATATGAACCTTCTCTTTGGATTGTTGAAGCTCCTATATTTTATTGGTGTGCAAATCCCAGTTGGCCAAGTTTGATGGGATTTATCGTTTAGAGTATCTACAGAAATCTATGTTGGAGAGTGCTGGGCTACTAGGCACAATTCTGAATGTTAATGGGATTATTCTTTTAAGCTCAAAGTGTATAGTATCAAGGGGCTGCCAGATCTAGGCACTGGTTTGTTTCAGGCAGAGTGCAGAGGCCCTCCTGTTTGTCCCATCCACAGGGGCTGGATTGATCAGAAAGGGAGATGGCTTTCTAAATGTTTGCATTCAAGTTGTGGAAATCTCATTTCCATAACTTGGTGTGTGTTAGTACTCTGCTCTTGCTGTGTTCTTACAGATGGTGGAAACTTTCCATTTTGTTTGGTACAAAACTTCTCTGCTATCTGTTGCTTTATTTGCTGAACCAGTCTGTTTTATCATTGCTGTTATTAATATGGAAACGTATTACATTTTGGAACTGGTTTTAAGTTCATTTAACACAATATATTCCACTATAATGAGTATTTTTACTGTCTTTTTCCAAATCTCCGAGAATCTTTCCACTGATACATTCTAGTGAAATTATCTAGTTAATTTTTTCAGATGAGGTGGGTACTACAGATTGGACCTACTGAAGATTGTAACCATGTGCAGCATCAAAATTTATGTGGGGTGGTGTGATGAGGACAAGTTGAGGCCATCCAAGCTCAGCAGCTGGTCCAGCAAGGAACATTCTTGCTGATTGAAGGCTATTAATAGTTGGGAATTGAGAACAGTGGGGCACACATGTTCTACACATCAGGGGCAGAGCATTCCTGCATGCGAAGGGAATTGTTGCACCAAAGGATCTATATGATATACCAATGACAAAGCAGTTGCTCACTCAGCTTATGCAAAGGAAAAATGTGCTCCAATTTAGTTGGCGTGTAATGGAACGCATGTTTTTCTTGTCAGCAGGTGGTCCAATTTTTTTTTTCTTTTTTCTCAATTTCACATTGTGTTTGAAAACTATCAAAGAAAGATGGCTCTGATACAGACTGTGAAACTGACAGTGGCTTGTAATAGCCAACAAGAGGTCTTTTTGTTTTGTTTTTGTTCTATTCCTGCAGTGATAAAAAAATTCTAACACTCCTAATGTAGCAGATGGAATTAATACCCAGGGCAGAAAAACAGATTCTGTTTATTTCTTTGGCTGTATGACATTGCCTCCCATGTATTCCAAGACACAGATCCTTCAGTCTAGCCTGGACCATGTTAAAATTCAGCTTTTTCATTGCTGGCATCCCCCCCCCCCCACACACACACTTTTTATTTGTCCCTCCTATGTTGTGATGTGAGTTTTCCAGAGAATTTTGAATTGGAAAGAAAACTTTTTAAAACCCTAAATGCATGTCTTCCAATCTTGCCCTCCTCTGGATCCATCAGATTATATCTCTCATTTTCCCCAGCTGACTAATATTTAGCGTGTTTGGTAGTTAGGGAGAATGCAGGATTGTAAGCAAGACCTCTGAAGAATATAGGCCAGGAATGCAAAAAGTATGGAATGGTAGTCTCTTAGAGCCCACCAGCCTCCCTTTTAGGGCCCCAACCCCCATCCAAAGTGGATAGGGCAATCATTTGGGCCTTCTTTTTTGCAGTTTTCAGGACCTGGGGGTGGGATTATGGGACAAAGGGAAGAGATGATCTGATTGAGCTCATTCAGTTCTTATATGATCTACATTTCCTTCCAGTTCATCTTGGCGAACTTTTGCTAGGACTTCAAAATAAGAAATTATCTGTATGTGGCATGAGTTCAGATAAAACATGCATACATCTGTATGTGAATGAAAACCTTTTTCAGAATTGGTTTATATTCCAATATAGCGTTATTGCTGATGATGCGTTTTCTTTATGCTTTAGAGAAGGTTGGTTGGTTCTTCTAAGATATGCTTTTCAACCAAATTATTTTGCATTTCCTGATTTTTAAAGGGACATGAGTATCATTACGCTATAGCAAAGGGATTGGCATCCTTTTTCTTATTGAAAGCCAAAACAAATGTTTAAATAATTTTTAAAAGATGAAATCATACAGGATTGCCAGACATTTGGGATTTAAGTCATATCTTGTGTGATTTCTGAAGTCTTGCATGATATATAGTGAAAAATAGTGAAATTTTGTGAGATTTGGCAATCCCATAAAGTGTTTCAATATTTTAAAAATATACTTTGATTTCAGGATGCCACAAGTGCCCTCTAGGAATGTTGCAAATGCCATATTCCCCACAGATAATCACATTGCTAACTCCTTCCATAGCAAATAAAAGAGAAGGAATATGCATGGATATTGTTTATTCCAAAACCTTTGCAGCTGTTTCCATCTTAACTAAAGAGTTTGATCTAGACTGGCATTTCTGTTAATTTATAGTAGCTTTGATCAAACAGTAACAAGCTACTCTGTGATTAAGTGGCTGGGAGGGGTGCCTTTTATTTGTTGGAATTTCTAATATTTGAAAGTATGAGGCCCTGTGGGTAGTCTTTGCTGAGGTTCACAGAACTAGCTATGCAAGATATCCAAAATGGACCAAACAGAGGACAAAGTGGGACCTGTTTATTCTGTTACTTTGGCTGTCCCTTGAAAGAAAGCAGATTTCTCTTTGCCGGTTGGCTGGGAGGAAAGAGGAGGAGGAGGAGGTCCTAGAAAGCAGACGAGAGTGGTTAGAAAATTGGCTGGGTGCCTCGTGCGTGTTTGTCTGCTGTTATCCTGGTGACTCCATTGCTCATGCCATTGCAAATTGCTGACCTTGCAGTTTGTAATAGCTGCAGAATGTCTCATTAGAAAAAGGAGTTTAGTAGGAGTCGAGGCTTAGCTAAATTGCTGCAACCTCTGAGCCAAGCCAGGGAGTGCAGTTTGTTTTCAAAAAACCCTCTCTCCCTCAGTACATGCACACAAGCACATAGAAACCTAGAAACTTAATGGGGTTATTTTCCACAAAGAAAGACATGATTCTCAAGAAGAATGAAATCTGTGATTAGTTTTCATTCCCGCAGCATTTATAGCAACTGCTCTTAACAACAGATTTACCCCTGGGTGCCCTGCTTATGTGCTTGCTTCAATGTGCTGTGATGATGGGGCTTGTCCATACTATAGAAGACATATTGGAGAAGTTGGAGAAAACTATCTGAAACAATTATATTTTTGTCTCCTGATTTTTTTCTTTCTTTTTTTCCTATCTCTCGCTGCAGTTATATGAACTTGATGGAGATCCAAAAAGGAAGGAATTCCTGGATGACCTCTTCAGTTTTATGCAGAAACGAGGTGAGCGTCCTTTCCTATTTACAGGGCATGCTGTAGATTATCTTTTAGAGCTCTTTCTAAATTCAGAGACAGAGAGAAGGAGAGAGTGGCAGATTCCCCCATATCCATAATCGGATGACTCTTCCAGTATTAGGGAAGGAAAGTAGCTTTGCATGTAGAAGGTTCCCCCCAACCTGGATTCCCAGATTTAAAAGATCAGATGGAAGAGATGGGAATGGCCTCCATCTTCTTGATCCTGACGAAGATGCTGCCGGTTAAAATACTTAGGTTAAAAGAGCAGTGAACTGACCACAGATGGATGGATGAATAAATTTGTGCTTGATACATCTGCTGACCCACTCTCATCTGAACCGTGGTAAGTAAGTAACTGGCCAGTAATCCAGCACCAGACTCTTGAGGAAGCCAAGGTGGGGCCCAGTTGTTCCAGGAGCAGCCCTCTTAGGCAGCATCTTTAACATATGTATGATGGCTGGCAACATGGGTAGGTTTTTGTTTGTTGTTGTTGTTGTTGTTGAGTTTCAATTTTTATTGATTGATTGATTGATTGATTGATTGAGTGGCTCAATTACAATCAGAGCTGCTGTTGGCTGAATGGGAAAGGCTTAGCGATCCTCTCTTTTTGTCCCCATTTCTTCCTCTCCCTACAGTATACCTGTAAGGGTGGCCAGGGGGTGGGTATAATCAGTGGGGAAACAAAATCAAAATTTAAACGGTGTGGCTAGAACAGGCCCAGTTTTGCACTCTGCCTTACCTGCATTTTCTCCAAGATTCTAAGGTTCATAAAGCAAACAAAATTTAAATGGCCTGGCTTAGTATGTTGTCTGAATGGCCTCTCCCTTGCATAAGTGCAGGCTGTGGTCTTTGTCAATACAGTGAGCCTATGCTAATGATCATATTCGGCTGGTGAGGAATTATGGAATGTTTAGAAAAACTTTAACTGCTCAGAAATGTAGAGAACTTTCACCATACAGAGCCTTAGAAAGGCTGGGATTTGTGCTATTGGTAGGAAGAATGCCCAGCTACGGAAAAATGTCTGGTGTCATTGCACTCTTGGCCACTAATTGTGCTTATATAAATTGCATGTTGTAAATAAAGACTTGCATTCTGTGTAAATTCTGTAATTACATTCTGTAATTATTCTGGTGTCCAGTCAGTTCTTGTTCCACTTAAATTTCAGACCAAAATCTAGATTCTACCATGAAGCAAATTTTGTGTCTCAATTCTATTTTCTAAAATGGAAATAATGCAACTTCACCATACCATCTAATCACCAATTTATTGTTTTGAACCTGGTTAGATTAGTGAAAGAAATAAAGAATTGTTTTTTTAATAGTAATTTTATCAAGAATTACAATTAAAAAGATAAACACTAATACAAATTAAAAGAAATAAAAGAATAAAAAGAAAAAACAAAGATAGAAAAGAAAGAAAAAATAAGAATATAGTAAAGAAAAGGAAAAGAAATATATAAAGAAATGACCTCCCCCTTCATCACAACAAGTATAAACTATTTTAGTAGCTCACCGCCTTCTCTTAAAATACAACAAATGATCTCTTCTTCCCATATCCCATCTCTTATCTATAAACAAATCCTTAAAGCCATGTTGTTCAGTCCTGGTCAGCAAAAGTCCACTAAGGGTTACCAGAGATAGCAACATATCTATTTTAACCTTGATGAAATAAACCAACTTTATATTCTTTCCTTTTACTTTTAACAATCTTTATCTTTAGTCCCTTCAAATAATGTCTTAGAACTTGATTTCTTTTCATTTTTTCTTTGTCCCTTCTCAGAGAATTCTTCAAAGCTTTAACAAGTATCTTTTGTAAATCCAGTATAGGAAAGTTATCCAGGTCACTCTTTGAGTTTGTTATTTGTATATCCCTTTTAATTATTAAGATATCAGCCGGTTTCATTTGTGTATCCAGTGTAGCATCTTTTTCCATATCAGTCTCATTTTTGTCTGGTAAAACTTGTTCCTCTTCCATAATATCTTTTAAACACAGTCTATCTATAGAGG